ACAGGCGATACCTGCCCTTCTAACAGGGAGGTTATCATCACAGATCCAGCGATGGATGGAACAGGCACAGAATAACCAGACACTGGCAGCAGACACGCTTGTTAAGTACCCTTGTGCAGTTGAGAGAACTCTTCTTAGAAGCCTTGGGAAGGTACCAGGGAGGTTAGTATCTGTTGTTTTTAACAAAATCTAAATGTTGTTTTTAACTAAATCTCAGTCGTCCGATTTTACCAGTAAAGACTCAGGAGCCAGATGCTGGGGTGAAAACCTGCTAGCTCAGAGAGGCGGAGAAAGCAGCCTGCTGGCCTTCCCCTCCTGCTGTCATCTCAGAAGGAGACTTCTCCCGTCCCATCTGAAACAAAGACTCCAACCGGAGGTCTCTCCCTTCTCCTTCCTGGGCATTTCTCTGTCCATCTTCCTAACTCCCTCTTACTCTCTGGGTTTTTCCTCCTGTCAACTGGCTGCTTGCTCCGCCACTAGACCCGTGGTTGACTTTATTTAATCCTGTTTACAATATTCAAGCAGAAAGCTCTTGTGTGGTTAAGTGTGTGAGGGCTGAGCCACATCACAACTATAGGAACAGATTTTTTCAATAAATACTGCGATCTTGGGGTTCACAGTGTGGTCAGGCACCCCGGTGCAGCCAGTGGTGATGCACACTTGACCAGTGAGTGGTAGAACTGGGCTCCAGAGAATGCAAACTACATTTCCTTTGGAGACACGGTGTCCCTGTTTTGGCAGGAGCACAGACTAATAAGAGAGGAGCAGTTTCCTTCTTATTTTTAAACAGGTAAAAAGTCTGGATTTTATTTTTCTTTCATTAATTTTCAGAGACGTTTCTATTTTGGAAGCTTTCTGAGTGACACCAGGGCCTGTGGTCTTGGGGACTGCTCTTGCCGGAAGAGACGTGTGGGCAGTTTGCAGTAGGTCCAGGGCCATCTGAGGTTCTCATGAAACTGCCTTAAGAATGTTGTGCTGTTCAACCATCTCCTGATGTGCACAGTGCCAGTCTCGGCTCTGCAGCTTGGCTCTCTGCAGGCCGGTGTGGGCAGCTTGCTGCAGGCTCAGGTTACCAAGCCTTCTGCAGAGACACAGCATGTTGGTGGCTAGGTTCTGGCTCAACTGCTAGCTAGCTCCAGAAACTCTGGGAGAGTGCTGACGTCCAGCCATCACCTGGGGCGTGTGTCTCCGCAGCTCGCATGCTGGAGAATGACATTTCCCATGTCTGCCAAGCTTAACCCACACCCTGCGGTGGAAGGCTCCCAGATGACGACGGTTTTAGCCATTCTGACAAGACTGGTTCATGGGTGAGCCAGGATCCAAACCCAATGGTGATTCCAAGGTTCTTGCTCCTGATATGGTATTCTTGGGGCACACTGCTTTTGTCTGCATCTACCCCCGAGTGGTCTTTGTAAACGGTGGTTTGTGATTAACCCAGGCCACCCGGGTACAAGCGAGCCACAGTGGGTACAAGGGAGCCACCATGTCTGGAGTCTTGTCATTGCAGTGGTAGTAGCCAGGCAGGCCTTCAGAGTCAAAGCATTCACGGTTGACTAACTGGAGTTCCAGGCCAGTTTCTGTGGCCCGCTGTTCCTTGGCAGGAAGCTTCTGATGGAGTGGGAGTGTCCTGGCCAATCTGCAGAGCTGTCTGTCTTTTCAACTCTTTCAAAGAGTTGGAAGCCACAGTGGAAAGTGTAATGCCTGGAGCATTCTGTGGCCCCGTTCCTTCTCTCCACTCCTTTCCATAGTCCATGCTGCTTTCCTGAAGTTCCTTTTGTCTCCCAAGCCTTCACTGACACCCGGTGACACTGTACCCTGATGTCTTGGTTTGCTTTCTGTTGCTGCGATAAACACCATGACGGGAAGAAGAAGGGATTTATTTCGTCTTGCAGGTTACACTCCATCTTTGAGGGAACTCTGTTAGGGCAAGAATTGAAGCAGAGGCTTTGGAGGAAGGCTGCTCACTGGCTCATGCTACCTTTCTCACACAGCTCAGGCCCACCTGCCTAGTGAGGGCAACACCCACATTGGGTGATGCCTTCCTCGATCCCTTGGAAATCAAGACAGTCCCTCATAGACATGGCCCTGGGGCGATCCAATCGAAGCCGTTTTCCAGTTGAGGTTAGCTCTTCCCAAGTGACAAGGTTTGTGTAAAGTTGACAATAAAAACTACACTTTGCCTCTGTGTTTGTTCAGATGTCAGTTTAGTGGATATAGTCTTTGTTCTGTGAAAATTTTTTGATGTAGCAGAGATGCTTCAAAAATGATTGCTTGTGCTATGAGAGCCTCTGTGTGTTTGTGTGTGTGATGGTGTGTGTGTTATAGTGTGTATGTGTGGGGTGTGTGTGTGTGTATGTGTGTGTATGTGTGTGTGTGTTATAGTGTGTGGTGTATGTGTGTGGGGGTGTGTATGTGTGGTGTGTGTGTGTGTGTGTGTGTGTGTGTGTGTGTTGATTCTTTGAAATAGTGTTTTGCTATATAATAACAGGAACTCACTGTGTAGCCAGGATGACATTGAACTCATTATCATCTTGCCTCATCCACTAAAGTACTGGGATTACAGGACTGAGTCACCAGACCCAGTGTAAGGAGTTAATTAATGAAGATAAAGAGGGGGAGATCAGACAGAAAACCTGGAGCCAACCTTGGAGTGAGGCACATGTGCCCTCGGGGCTCAGTGCTTATGTTTGTAGCAAATGGCCTTGGGGGTGATTAACTCCCAAACCCCCACTTTCACTGTGGTAGGGGTAGCACCCCCCACGGTTTGGGTTTTAGGACTACTTATTGATCTAACAGGCAAAACAACAGTCTGGTATTTGGAAGGCATTTGATTAAAGAAAGATGATACATATATCAGAAACTGCCTCAGTTCCTGTCCGGGGCATGTCTATTTATTGTAACAGAAGTTTCCCTGGTTTTCTGATTCGTGTGTGTGTGCATGTACTCATTTTAAGACATCTTTTTGCCATTAGATTGGAAAACAAGGCTTGTGAGTCATGACCCACTTAGTGTCTGGAAGAGGGCCGCGGCTGGTTTCGTTGGATGCAGGAGCAGCCACGCTGTAGTAAACAAATCAGTATTCCCATGACCTAATCACAGTGTGTGCTGCTCAGAGATACAATCCGTCGGTCTGCTGAGCTTGCTCCTGGGGCTGCTGCCACCCGGGCGTGACTCACATAAGCGAGCCTTTGACCAGTGTGGTTGTGAGACGTCCCGAGGGCACACATCTCACACCTGGTTTAATTGTTGTGTTTCCCTGTTTAGAGAGAATAAGGCTGGGTCATTATATTGGACTCCAGCCAAAGTTGTCCGAGTTTTCTGAGTTCGGTTGGTTTAAGACGTTCCAGGATCCTCCAGATTAGATAGATGTAATTATAGACAGTAAGCACTGATCTTGTTGCTAAGGAGTTGGGCTTTTTTACGCCTGTGGCTGTGAAAAGGCTTACCACACGGGCGGACAAATGAGGCAACAGCCCCTGCCTACTTAGCTGCTATACCAAGATTTGTGCCAGGCATTGTGATATTCTTTCTTTCTTTATTTTTTTCTGTCAAGAAAGCCTAGTAAGGCAGGCATTCCAATTTTATTATCTAGGGAACCAGGGGCCAAAAGTATCAAGGATGCACCCGCCATGGCCTCAGCGGAGGGATCAAGATTGCCTGAGTCTGTCTTGACCCCAAAGACTACAGGGCATACTCCCTTTTCACATTGCCACCGTGGACCAGGCAGAGCACTTCCATGCCTGCCACACATAGAATAGACCTTCACCACCCAGCCAAGTGTCACCTCATAGCAGGTCAGCAGTGCTGTGTAGGTTGGGGCTGGGGCAGCACTGTGGCCCTGACAGGACTTGGTGATACCCCTGTATTTACCTGGTTACCTGCCCTCTCTTGTCTTGGGAAGGCCTCCCCTGGATGACAGTGAGTTTGTTTCTGATAAACCCCACCATCCTGTGCCTCCAACAGAACTCCAAAGCCTCTCTCATCCACAGGTAGATGTAGGTGGGCCGTGTGCAGAGCCAGAGTCCTCATCCAAGCCCTGGCCAGTGCATGAAGCTGAGGCTGACTGACAAGGGCCTCTGCTTAGAGCGGTGGTTCTCAACCTTCCTGATGGTGCAATCCTTTAAACACGGCTCCTCATGTTGTGGTGTCCCCCAACCTGAAATTATTTCCATTGCTATTTCATAACTGTAGTTTTTCTACTGTTATGAATCACAATGTAAATATCTGATATGTGACCCCCGTGAGAGGGTTGTTTGACCCCCAAAGGGTTTATGATCCACAGGTTGATGAACACTGCCTTAGCACCCAGGGTGATACTTTGCACATGATGCCAAGTCTCTGGAAAAAAGCTTTGAGAATGTCTCCCTCTCTTCCTTCCTCACTTCTTCCTTCCCTTTATCTTACCATCCTCCCTTCCCTTCCCTTCCCTGTCATATTTGGTAATAGCTGTTTTTCTCCCTCTGGCCCTTACAGTCTTTCTGCCTCTTCTTTGCCTATGATCCCTGAGCCTTGTGAGTAGGAGTATGGCATGGCTGCTCCGTTTTCGAGCTGAGCACTTGAATGTCTCTTATCCTGTGCACACTGGCTAGTTGTAGCATCACTCCCTACTGGGGAAGCTTTTCTGATGAAGGTTGAGAGATGCACTTCTCTGTGGGTATGATGGTCAGAACTCAGGGAGCTGTTTAATATGATGTCCACTTAGCAGAAGAGTCATATAGACAGGTTTACCTCTAGGGCCTATGGACCTAGACAGCCACGTGTCATATGCGGTTCACAGAACCAAGTATGAGTTCCATCTTCATGACCAGACTTTAAATCCAATCAGAAAGTGGTTGGTTATTCTGGTAACAGTCATACCACCTTTGTCCCCACAAGGCACATCTTGCCAGGCCGGTAGTTAATGTGGTTCCCAGGGTTAATAGCCGGCCATTTGCTCAACACATCACTTTGTCTCTGGTATTTGGGAAGTCCGGGTGTTTACACACTTTTCTTTCTTTCAGTGCCTGAAACAGTATGTTGAGCTCTTGATCAAAGAAGGACTAGAAACTGCAATTAGCTGCCCGGATGCTGCATGCCCTAAAAAGGGCCACCTTCAGGAAAATGAGGCACGTTCAGGGAAGGAACACATGGTTTTGTTGCCTGTGTACGGTGGGCTGTAGCTGGCTTCTCAGGACCCCGTTGTTTTCTGCTTGGCCTCATGTTGGGTTGCATTCTAGCCCTCTGCATATGACCATCCTGACGTCTATTTTTTTTTTTTTTTTGCCTCTTTGCAGATTGAGTGCATGGTTGCAGCTGAAATTATGCAAAGATATAAAAAGCTACAATTTGAAAGAGGTAAGTGGCCTGCTGTGTTAGCCAGTTTTGGATCCTACAACAGAAGGTGGATAACATTTATGGAGCTCTCTTTTGGGAGACATGAGTGTACATCATTGGATGGGAGTGAAAAAGGATTCAACAAGGGCCGGAGCATGGTGTAAATTGCACCTCTGAAATAAGGTTGGCTTGGAATCCTCTGAGCCGCTCACAGCCTGGCAGCCTGAGCTTGTGACCTATTTGGCAGCCAGAGGGACTCAGGAGACACTATTTATATACAGAGATTGGGACTTCCTGCTGGCTTACGGAGATCCCTAGTCCATGTTTTTCTTCAGCCGGGTTTGGGTCTAGAGGTGTTGCAAACTCTTAGATCCTCCCTGCATGTAAAAGACCCAACAGTGTGTGAGGAAGTCCTGAAGCTCGGTACTCCTGCAGGTACCATTGCCGAGCACTGAATCCACATTCACCCTACTCACGATTCATTACCCCTTGAAGGCTTAGATAGCAGCGCTCATGAGTTAGTGAGCCTTGGGCCTCGGTGAGTATCCCAGGTCTGACATACCACGGTCCACTGTGATCACACCCATGGCAACTGGGTGACCTCCGTGGTTTCTAACTCTAGTGACGGTCTGGCCACATCTCCAGCTCCGAAAGCCGACTTCCCCCATCCTGTTGGGCCCTTTACGGACCTCTCCTTACAAGCTCCAGTCCTGGTGAAGACAGAGAGATAGATGTGTGGAGCACTGAGACAGGCTGGATGCCTGCCGGGTGAGCCCTTCATCTTTCCTCTCTGGGGCTCTGCAATCATAAGATGGTGTTTGAAAGAACCTACACACCCCATTTGCTCTGCTGTCAGGGACTTGAGGTCACCGGCAAAGGGCAGATGGGAGACAGTGTGATGCACATGGCTCCTGCTGTAGGGCCTCTAGGAAGGCACCCAGTGAGTGCTCTGCCCCTGCAGGAAACTGTCTGTGACCACATCCCCTCTCCCTAGACACTGTGAGCCGGTATCACAGGTCTTCTGTTGAGCCAGATCCCAAGGTGATAATGCTTAGGTGGAAACACAAAATGCAGAGCAGGGTGCAGCAGCCGCAGCGGCAGGGTGCGTGTGGATCTGTCAAAGTCTGAGGTTTAAAAAGAAAACAGGAGAAATGCTAGAGGTCACCTCTAGTTGACTTAAAAGTATATATACAAGTATGTGTATATGTACGTGTGTGTGTATTTGCATGGATAACTTCAAACGTCAGTCGAGCTTGGAGAGATGGCGGCAAACACTTCACGGTTCTTGCACAGGTGGTGACTCACGACCAACTCCTACTCCAGTTCCATGGGGTCTGATGCCCTTTTCCGGCCTCCGTGAGCACGCCATGCGTGTGGTTCACATGCATCCATGTAGGCAAACACATATACATTGCATACGTGCACATAAAATTAGATTAAATGAATCTTTTACGAGGTCAGTAAGGATTTTTGATGGCTTCAAAATTTGTTTTCCAGAGTCTGTCTCTTTAGATGGCGTACATCATTCACACTGGGGCAGCTTACCTTAAATCTGATGCTGCCCAGCATTAAAGAGAGAGCTAGGAGTTCTAAAGTCGGTTAATTTGGATTTCTGAGAACCTCAGACTCTTTTGAACTTGTTTTCATGGGATCTTAACAGAAACTGGGAATTGTTTCAGTCACAGGAATATGAACTTTCTATGACATCAAATGTAATTCAAAAGTGCAGCTGGATAGGTTTTTCTACCGAATAATTATAATCTTCCTTTCCCTCCCCAGTACTCTGGCTTCGTCTAAAAGATTCTGGCTCTTGTGTCAGAAATGAATCACCTTAACTCAGGTTAGAAAAATACCGACAACTATCACTAGAAAACATCTCAGCAGCCGAACGCTGAGTGGGGGTTTAAAGGGATTTGGACTTAATAACACAGAAGGTGCTGGCCCAGATGGAATGTTAGAAGTGGGACTTAAAACACAGCTGTGTACTCTAGCCAGCACCTTGGACGAACCTGGAGATGTGACCAGAAAGCTAACTTGGACTTGCTTCATTCCTTCAAAGTTTAGTCCATGGGGGACGCCGTAGGAGGAAACTCATTTAGATGATTTTCTAACGTTTTTAGTTATAGAGAAGTCCTACAGTGAGTTGAAGCTTCAAAAGGCCCTTTATTTAGCCCCGGTGTATCTCAACTGACCCGGCAGCCTGGTTTTTCCTTTTAGATTCTTGGCCTCTGCCCCTGAAGTCTTTGGCCATCTGGAGGCCAGGGAGGGTTCTGGGGTACTGCCCTTGCTTTCTGGAACCTTCTTTCCCACTGGGATCACCCTGGCACCTGGGTGAGGAAAGGTGAGAGAGAGGTTCTCAGAACACACTCTTGTGCATGCCTGCCCTGCAGCATCTGAGTGTGTCTGGAATCTGTCTGGAGGCTCATGGTATCCCAGCTTGATCCTTTGGTGTATTAAAAGGAAAAAAAATCTTCGAGTGATTAATAACATGGCCAGGTCCATTTCCAGCTCTGACAAGAACCAGGATTCTCCGTTTGCAGTGTCTTTCCTGCAGGAGCATGCCTAACACCACAGAGGAGGACCAGGACACTAGGTGCATCAGTCAACAGCAGCAGGGAGCACATGAGGGTGTGTGGGGTGCTGGTCCCTCAGAATACTTTCACATACCATCTGTCTTTAAAAAGTAAACCGCCTTTATGGAAAATGGTCAGATATCTTCTAGTAGAGCTCTTGGGTGTCTGCCTTACTGAGGGTCCTTGAGAAACTCACGTTAAGCTGGTCTCCTGAAGAGAAGTATGTCCTTGGCAGACTGGAGTTCTGACTGGATTCTTCTGCTCCCCCCAGAAAACATCGCTTGCTTCATGTTAACACCTCTCATGCACATACATGTATGTGTGTGTGTGTGTGTGTGTGTGTGTGTGTGTGTGTGTGTGTGTGTAATATAATAGATATAATATACACTCTGTAAGATGCAGCGTGGACAATGGGTTATTAATAGACGCTGGCGACGGGAAAGCTGAGTGACACTTCTATACATTCTGAGAGAAGCACATGAGTGCTGTCTGCTCTGAGCTCTGTTACTGATGCCTGCTCGTCTGCACAGCTGGCAGAATCGAGCAGCGGGGAGAACAATGAGAGTATTAATAGATTGCTGCCAGGGGTTGGGGCTGCACTGTTGGCCTCACAGCCCACGGAGGATGCTCGCAGTCCACTCAGAGGCAGATCACTGCACTCTGTCTGCAGGGAATCTCTCCGAGTGACAATTGGCAGGGTCATCTCATGGCCGTGAGTAAAAGACTCATAGACTTGGAGTCGTTACCATGGAAACCTTCCTTAGGTCTCCCCCTCCATGCCTCAGCCAAACGGGCTGACTGTGATAAAGGTGCGAGGAAGCCTCTCACTGCTGTCAGGGAGTTGTAGCGCGTGGCAGGAAGTATGTGAAGAGAAGCCTGCCCCAACCCCCACTGACATCTGGGGCTTCCAGAGCACCGGAGGGTCAGCAGGCAGGACATAGGGGTCCCCAGGGTCTGAGACAGGAAGCCTACTCCCAGCAAGGTTCAACTACAGCATGATGTTAAACAGCCAGCCAGAGGCCTGTGTCCATGTCACATGTTCAGCACACTGAGTCCCGTGTCCCCGATGTCATTTGGGGTACATCGTATCTGGTCTGGGACCAGGCTAGCTCCCCCATCACATGCACAGAGGACTGGTAGGTGAAGTGGAACTTACTGTGTGTTGAAGGCAGGAACTGCTCCCAGAGAGGATCCCGAGGGTTTGGGAGCTGTGGGGGCTCCCTGGGGATTTCCTCCCAGCACATACCCGAGGCCTGTGAGTTTTTTTGGGGAGCTCTCAGCATCCCAAGCCTGCAGGGCAACACTTCTCCATGGCCGCCAGTTCTATCTCCACATGGGTCCACACGTTCACTGCCCATGCACCTCCTTCAGACAGCAGACAGGGACACCACCCAAGCTGGACAGTAGCCGCTGTTCATTTTCTCAGTTCCAGGGGCATCTCAGAGGTTTTGCAGTATTGTCATGGAGTCCAGGCGGTGTGTAATGCAGGCTCTCAGTCCTGGGGTTCCTCGGGGGTCACAAGCACCATCTCGGGCCCTTGTTCTCATATCAACAAGATCCTTTTATACTTTTGATGAACTTACCTTCATATATCAGGCAAGGAGTTGCCTTGGACTAAAGTCAGCCAGCCGTGGCTAGTGGACCATCTCTGACCCCCAGCTGCTCTGATTGATGTTTCCTCAGAACCCTCATTTATGGGTGGTAGTCTGCTCTTAACCCCAATAGCAAACCAAGTAGATGTTACAGGAACCCCCAAATCACATGGTCCCTAGGAACATAAATAATCCCCACCCTGCCCTTTACAGAGGTTGGCCGGCCTCTGATACAGTGGGTAAGGTCATTATTGAACTTATACCTGACAGACTTGCTCCTTCAGCACTGAACAGAGTGTCCCCTCTTATTGAGGGACCTGGAACCCATAGAAAGGCACACAAGTGTATGAGGTCAGGACTCTGCAGTTTCAGACCTTGTCACTGAGGGTTTATTTGCCTCACAGTGGGGAGTTCTGTAAGCCCATCATGGTGGGGAAGGCGTGGTGGCAGGGACGTGAGGTGGCTGGTCCCATTTCATCTGCAGTCAGGAAGCAGAAAGAAATGAATGCTGGTTCTTAGCTCGATGGCTCCTTTTTATTCAGTGCAGGACCCCAGTGCATGGGGATGGTGCTCCCTACAGTCAGAAGGAGTCTTCTCATTTCAGTTATAGAAATTTAGAAGCTGCCTCATAGACACGTTCAGAGGCTCAGAGGCTTGTGTGCTAGGTGATCAAGACTCCTGTCAAGTTGACAGTCAGTGCTAATCATCTCAGCCTTCTGCACTCTCAGTGGGCTGGGTGTCCCATGGAGTACAGTTCCTGTCCTTTGTGATGAGCCACAACCATGTCTGGCTACCTGGGGTAGGGCCCAGACGTTTGCAAACAAGCACTCTTTGCCTTGCACATTAGCAAACACCTTTTATACGGTTCCTCATCACAATTCAGTGTTCCCCAGATTGCCTCTCAAGATCAGCCCGACTGCAGAGCTGAGGGCCAGTGGCCCACGCAGCCCTGTGGAGATGGTCCTGTAATGGGCCATCTGGCCTGCCATGGTCCCTGTTAGAATGTTAGCCTCCTGTTGGTGTCTCCTACCACAGCTGATGAAAGTTCAAAGTCCACTAGAGAGGAAGTAAGTGAGATGCCAGGCCGGCTCACTATGGAGGCCAGCTAGGGACGAGTTATAAATGCAGGTTTGGGGTCAGGATGAGAAGGAAGGAATGCCACCATATCCTGTTTATAAACTAAACTTCCTGACCAATCCCATTAAGAAAGGCTTTGCAGTAGCTTGGGCTTAATATGCAGGAAATGCAAGCTACTAGTTTTACCCCGGTTTGGACTTGGCAAGAGAATCTGTCTTGGGCCTGTGAATCACCCTATTAGAAGACTAATTTATGAACAAAAGAAGGCACCCAGTTCTGGAAATGCCAAAGCAAAGATCATGGTTTTGTATGCCGCCTTGAACAGGTAGAACAGGCAGTAAGACTAAGGCAGCCTCTTCCTTCCCCGCTTCCTTTTCACTGTGCAACAAAAAGTTTGCGAGTGTGGGAGCCTGGCACTGGGTGGGTGTTGAGGTTTCAAGACAAGGCTCTCACCTGACTCCAGGAAACGTGTCCTGGTTGTGGTGGGAACATGGCGCGCGGGGGTGGGGGGTGGGGAGGGTAGGGGGGTTGCAGACAAGGGTCTGGTGATGCTGGCACTCAGAGAGACTGGGCTGGGTGAACCCTTCTCTTCTCCAGAATGTGATGGAACTGGGGCGGGGGGGTGAGATGGCGGCCGTGGGAGCCCTTGGCCTACCAGGTACAACCGTGAAAAGCTGGAACCAGCTTGGGGGGAATTGGATGAACGTGGAGGCGGTGTGGGTCAGTTTATCTGGAGCGTGTCTAGCTGGGTCACCTGGATGTCCTCCATTGTGACCGCCTCAGTTGTCATGCCAGGGTCAGGAGCCCCCCCACACCCCCCAGAGACCACCAGGTGTCCCAGGAGTCCGAGTTCCTATGCAAAAGCAAGGAACCTTTATTGCAAGCTTGAACTTGGGCTCTCTGTCCGTTCCAACACAGTAATTGGGTCAGGGAGAGCCTCGAGCTGAGTTGGGGTGTGGGGTGGGGGGGTAGGTGGGTGGGTTAAGGAATCAAGGATGGGGGGGTAGGGAAATTCTGCATTCAGATGGGGGATGGACTCCTGATTGGGCAGGAGTGAGGTAGCAGAAGTTTTATCAAACAGGGATTGGTATTGGCGTCCCTGCAAGGAAATTGGCAACCTTTTTACAGATTATGTAAGCTATCCTTAATGTTCTGGAGCGTCTAGTACTTGTTTGTCTCAATTCTGATTGGTCCCCCGCGGGGTACAGCTTGTGGTTTTTCCTGGTTTTGGTAACGGTGAGGCCTAGTCCCAGTACTGTTCGTCTGCAGCCTGTCATGGCTGCACCAATGTTCAGTCAGGCCTCTTCACCGTCTGTGCCCCAGAGGGCCTTCTCCATGCTCCCCCTCTCCAGTGCTTGCGATGTCCTGAATCTGACTTCTGTCTTCCGTCTCCTTGTACTAGAGGTGCTCTTTGACCCTTGCCGGACGTGGTGCCCAGCATCCACCTGCCAGGCCGTGTGCCAACTCCAGGACATAGGACTGCAGACGCCCCAGCTGGTGCAGTGCAAAGCCTGTGACATGGAATTCTGCTCTGCGTGCAAAGCCCGCTGGCACCCGGGCCAAGGCTGCCCCGAGACCATGCCAATCACCTTCCTTCCCGGGGAGACCAGGTACCCCTCCATCGGAGCTGTGGTAGAATGAGTGGGCGGGGAGCCGAGAGCCGGGGGCGGGGAGCCGAGAGCTGGGGGCGGGGAGCTGAGAGCCGGGGGTGGGGAGCTGAGAGCCGGGGGTGGGGAGCTGAGAGCCGGGGGCGGGGAGCTGTGGCTGGCAGAAGGTAGGCTTCTTTCTTCTAAGTGACACCTGAGAGCATGTGGCCATACATCACTGGCCACAGTCCAGGGTCCACCTCAAGAGTTTCTTTTAGGCTTGTGGTTTCCTTGTGAGAACATTTGCCAGGTACATCGCAAGTCCCTGGGAACGTAAAGATGTGTGAAAACCACTCTCTGCTCCCTGCAGGAAACGATAGACGCACTGTGGGCTATACACCAGGATTAAGTCCTTTGATCGCTGCAGTTTTTCCACATCTACCCTCTGTGGGAGGGGATCTGAAATGGGAGTGTAGGAATAAGAACACTGGCCATAGTGAGTGCTGCTTACAAGCAAGATCCCGAGTAGGTCCGTCCACAGGCACCTGAAGCGTAGAGCCCCACATCTCTCTGAAATTGAGTCTATTAGCATATGGCAAACACAACTGAATTTCTTCCCTCTTGCTCCTCCCAGTCAGATAAGCCCAGCTGTTTGCTCAGGTAGACTTTGTCAGTTAATTCCATGAACTTTAGAATTCAACAGCGTGAACCATAAGAAACTGTTTATATCAGGGGCAACTCTCCCCAACAAAATGTAGACAGTCGTGTAGTTCACCTAGGCAAATTGGCCAGCCGTGCTGCCGACAAGGAGACTATCATGACTGCCCTCTCCCTACCCAAAGGGGTCTTCCCCACCTGGTTCCCGATCTCCCTTGTTTTCCCATCCTCAGGAAGATGCCCCCGCCATGCCCCAGCTACAGACCCTCTGTTGATCTCCCAGCCCAGCACTGTCCTCTCTCACTTTGAACACTGTCCCTGGGCCAACAGGTCCCTCTCCCACCATGTTCCTTCCCAGATCCTCCTCAATGCCCTTTTCACGGGGCACCCATCTCTTCGTTCAGCTCTGTCACCAGGGTAGGGTTGGTGTCTGCATCCTTTGCTTTCCTGCTGCAGTTTGGGTGCGTTGACCACCATCCAGGACTTACTGTGTTGTAGGTCACTGTTCCCATGGCTGATGCTTCTACTGTCAGGGGCTCTGCATGCTTGACATTTGACCTGGCATATAACAGGCATTTGATGCAAGCAAAGATCACTGAATTTAGATGTAGGGCTATAGAAGCAACCAGACTCTAGGAAGACATATGCCCGCTGCATGGCTTGGTTAAAAGTAATCAGCAGAGGTTGATGTCCAGGGAGGGGAGAGCTAGAGGCAGATGAGGCATCTACTCAGGGAAGCAGCCCAGTTGTTTGTCTCCAAGAGTAACCCCCAGTGAGGGAGTGAGGGAGTCCTGCCTCTCAGCAGGAGAACAGGAATGGAGGACCCTTTCTAGTGGAATAAGGAGGCTCCCAGCTCGGGCATTTTCCTTACCACAGAACTTCCTTAGGGACTAGAGATGAGCTTGGACAGTAGACTGCTTGCCTAGCTAGCATGCAGGAAGCCCCATGTTCAGTAACCACCCCTGCATACACCAGACGTGATGGCACATCCTGGCATTCAGGTGGAAGTTGACACTGAGTATCTTCCTAGATTACTCTCCATTATATATTTTGAGGCAGGGTCTTCAGTTGAACCCAGAGCTCACTGGTCAGCTAGACTAGCTAGCCGGCTTCCCTTGGGGACACCCTGTCCTTAACCTGTCTCTAGTGCTGATATTGTAGATAGATGCCACACCAACCCAGCTTTTATGTGGGTCCTGGGGATCCAAACGCTATCCCTTGTGCTTGCGTGGCAAACACGCTCCCCACTGAGCCATCTTCCCAGCCTTTCCCAGAATTTCTTAACCTATCCCCTTCCACTGGTGGACAAAACAGAATCCCCTTCACTCAGTCACACGAGCCTCATTACACTTAGGAAGCCGATGGACATGATCATGAATGTTCACTGCCCATCATCACACAGATTGTGCTAAGGCATCATTAACTCATGTATATACTGTGGCCCTTTGGAATGCTCCTCCACCAAGATGCACGCTAATAGTGGCCCCACCTGACTTCAGCAACTGTGCGTTCAGACAAAACACTGACTGGCATCTCTTTCCAGGTCATACTGGTGTGGTGGGTTCTCACATAGTACTATATGTACCCCCATAATCTATAGTCCATTCTCTTGGCCTTTACCATTTATTCTTCCAGATGTTGTCATGAATATATATATATATATATATATATATATTTAAGAGAATAGCCATCTTTTTAAAAAAGGGGGAAAAGAATGCTATGGGTGATCTTCCTCAGCCATGCCTAAATACCTGTTTTGCTTTTGAAACATTAATTTTAACAGTGTTGACTTCTAGCTAGTTTTTTTTTTTTACCAGCTACTATCTTAGTAACGGTTCTATTGCTGTGAAAAGACAACATGACCAAGGCAACTCTTATAAAAGAAAGCATTTAATTAGGGGCTGGCTTACAGCTTCAGAGGGCTAGTCCATGATTATCACGGTGACAGGCGTAGTGCTGGAGCAGTAGCTGAGAGCTTTACATCTTGATCTGCAGGCTGGGCATTGGAGGGTGGGGTAGGAGGGAGAAGAGAAGCTGGGCATGGTGTGGGCTTTTGAAACCTTGAAGGCCGCAGCTACTCCAAAGGCCATATGTCCTAATCCTTCTCAAATACTCCCTGGTGGCTAAGCATTCAAATAGATGAGCCTGTGGCAGTCCTTCTCATCCAAACCACCACAGCTACTTTGCGGGATACTTTCTTGGGCTCACACTAAAGACCGAGGCTGGTAGAGGTGTCTTAGAGCTGTTCTGTGGAGGAACCAGCATCTGCTGCCAGACTTGAAGCTATAATAACCATTGCACATCCCTCCTAGGTCCCCAGGGATACAGGAGTGACCAGGTAGACCTTCTGGAGCAAGCCTGTACCTTCATGTGTGTATGTTTATGACTGATTTTTTTTTTTCTGACAAGGCCAAAGTACATAGAATTTATTATCCACTCTTTGGAAAATGTACACATTTCTAAAGCCGCAGCACCATTTTCCAGGTCCCCCCAGGATAAGTTTTGAGGTTGATATTAGATTTTCTATAGAAATCTAAAGTTAGATAAGTAGCTGATGTTGCCTTTTGTTTTTGTTTTGTCTTACCTTAGTCAGGCCGATTCGCCCTCTTTGGGGCTGGCTGTTTGTTTTCCATTGGCTTTAGTAACCTGAGGTCTGGGGCCCCTGCAGTAGCGAGGTGCTCCAAGGTGCCCCCAGCACAGCCCTGCTGCTTGGTCTCTCTTGACCCCCACTGCTGCACGGCCCTCACAGCATGTCTCCCACAGCTCTGCTTTCAAGATGGAAGAGGGCGATGCACCCATCAAGCGCTGCCCCAAGTGCCGGGTGTACATCGAGCGGGACGAGGGCTGCGCACAGATGATGTGTAAGAATTGCAAGCACGCCTTCTGCTGGTACTGCCTGGAGTCTCTGGACGTGAGTACTGCGCAGCAGCCGTGAGCTCTGCTTTCCGACGTGTGGGAGGGGAGGCTGGGGGCCATGCTGGTGAGCAAAAAGTAGCACCAGGGGGTGATTCTCCTGTGGTCCCAGAGGTGAAGCTTGGTCACTAGTGCTGGCTACAGAAGCTTAGGGCAGGCTTGGGGTTCAGCTCTATAACTGAAACGTGTCAGGATCTCTGAAAAACACCCCGGGCTGGCAGAGTCATGATCCACGTCAGGGAAGAAGGGAATCTGGTTCAACTTGACTTAGCAGCCGGTGCTGGTTCAAGCTTCTAGAGTCTGACTCCGGGCAGTTTATTTTCATCATATTTAAGCACAGTGCAATTTGGGAAAATGTTTCCTGGTGTAACACAATCCTGTGTTCTCAAGTACATGTCACTTTTTCTGTGGAGATGGGTTTTATAGATAGGCTGAAGGAAGAAACTAGAATGGTCTCGGCCATGCAGATAGCTCAGGTCCTTTTGCTCCTAACAAAAGAAGAGGTCTTGAATGTTGCAGGGTGTCTTAGGGTTTGGCTCTTTAGGGCCAATCCCGATAAGCTTGGATGTTATAATAGGGTACCCCAGATTGGGTCACAAACAACAGACATCCTTTTCTCACAGTTCAGGTGCTCGAGAGATGGACTATGGCCCCTGGCAGATGGGGACCTGATGAAGGCTCCTTTCTGGTTCTTTGATGGCTGCCTCCCTCCTGGGCCATGTTGGGAAGAGCAAGCTCTGGTCTCTCCAATCCTGTCAGGGACTCCATCCTCATGACATCATCTAAACTTAATCATTCCCCCAAAGGCCTACCTCCTGACACCACCATACTGGGACTTGGAACTCCCTTGAATTCCCGCATTTGGGTGGTAGAGAGCACATTCAGTTAGTGGGACAGCGGGAAAAATTAAAGTGCACACAGCAAAGCATGCCGGGCATCGGGGAGTGTCTGTGCCTCGTCTACAGGGAGGGAAACCTATGTTCCCATTGCTGGCTGACGTTTCTAGCCCAGTATAGCAGGGCTTCTCCCATGTGCTCTCTGTGCCAAGGCCCTTATGCTGCTGCTGCTGCCACTATAATGGTTTCTTACTGTCTCCCTCTCTGGTTTCCTCTTCGCTGCTGTTACGATAAAATGCTCTGATCAAAAGCAATTTAGATAAGGGTTTCTTTTGTTTGCGTTTTAAATCTTACAGGGAAGTCAGGGCAGGTACTTGAAGAATCCGTGGGAAAATGCTCCTTGCTGCCTCACTGGCAGCCAGCCGGGCTAGCTGGTACAGGCCAGGGCTACCTGCCTAGGGAATGTCGTTGCCCACAGTGAGCTACAGCCTCCCCCATCAATTAACAATCAAGACAATGCCCCAGAGACAGGCCCACGGGCCACTCTGATCTGGGCAAACCCTCAATTAAAAGTCCCTCCTCAGGTGACTCTAGGCTATGTTGAGTTGACAGTTGAAGCTGAGCAGGAGGGCAACTTTTCAAAATGATGATATTATGGCTTTGGTTTTGGGAGAGTTTGACCACGTACACTTTAAAATTCTATCCTTAAAATAGCGATTTAAAAATCACCTGTTAGGCATTGTAGTCAGCAAGAGTCCAAGTGTACTGAACTGCCCATCCTGATGGGAATCTATTTATATCTGTTCTAGATGGCAGTGATGGTTAATTTTAGTAGGAAGCCATGATCCGCTTAAGGGCTTCATTCACAAACTTAAAATCATAATAAATCATGTCTTTAAGACCTAGTGACCACCATATTATTTTCTGGCATCAACTTGACTGAATTAGAAAACTCCTAGGGCATTAGAGACAAAAATGCTTTTGTTTTGATGTGTGTGTGTGTGTGTGTGTGTGTGTGTGTGTGTGTGTGTGTGTGTGTACAGGATTACAGAGAGGATTAACTGAGAAAGGAAGTCCCGCCCTGATTATGGGTGGCTCCATCCCCGGGACTGTGGTCCCAGATGGAATGAGAAGGGAAAGGGAAAAGGCCAACCAAGCGCTAGCCTTCCTCTCTCTGCGCTGCGAGATCTGCCCACATGTGACCAAGCAAACTCAAGCTCCCGTCGTCACGCCTTCCCCACCATGATGGACTGTGGTTCCCAACCACAAGCCCAGTAAACCCTCCCTTCCTTATGTGGCTTCTTGTCAGGCGTTTGAGCAAAGCAAAGAGTGAAGGAACAGTGGAGACCTTGTGAAAGTCCCTGGGTGCAAAAGAAATGCCCCCTTCGGTATGCGTGCATCATATTCAGTAGGCCCGTTCTGCACCTGGGCAGTTCCCCAGTGGCGGACGATGGGTAAACTGTACATGATATCAGTGTGGAGGGAACATCAGTTAAGTGTTTCAAGGAGAGCTCACAGCAGGTGGAAGGGGCCTGATGCAGTTGAGGGAGCCAAGATCATGGTCTTCAGGGTCCAGCCCCCCTGATGGGTTATACTTGCCATGGAAACAGACTTCTGGCCATGTCTGTGAGGGAGGTTCTAGATGGAGATAATTGAGGTTAGATGTGGGCTGGAGTCCTGGACTGAACAAGAGGGAGGAAGCTAAGTGACTGTGGCTACCGTGTGACCCACGGCCTCAGGCTCCTGTGTCAAGCCATGCCTTCTTCACCATGATTTACAGATGTGGTGGTATTGTGTTCCCCAAAATACTGTGCACCCTAATAAACTTACCTGGGGTCAGAGAACAGAACAGCCACTAGATACAGAGGCCAGAAAATGGTGGCACACACGCCTTTAATCCTAGCATTGGATCTCTGTGAGTTCAAGGCTACACTGAAAACAGCCAGGTGTGGTAACAAGAGCCTTTAATGCCAGGAAGTGATGGCAGGAAGCAAAAAGATATTAGAGCTATGGCTCTAATAGCTCTGACCCCCAGGCAACTTTATTTATTAACATACAATCAAAATCACATTTCAGTACAATTAGATTACCACCACATATAAGGGGTGAGGACCAGGAACTAGAGCCTGGTTAAGCTTTTAGGCTTTCGAGCAGCAATTCAGCTGAGATCCATTTGGATGAGGACTCAGAAGATGAGGAAACAGGATCAGCTGAGGAATTGGCAAGGTGAGGTGGCTGTGGCTTGTTCTGCTTCCCTGATCTTCCAGAGTTCACCCCAATACCTGGCTCCAGGTTTGTTTTTATTAATAAGACCTTCTAACAATTCTGCTACATACAGAACCTTCAAACCGTGAGCCAAAAGGGACCCCTCCTTAAGTTGTGTGATAATAACAAAGTAGCTAACACACACCGCCAGGCAGGAAATATTCTGGCATATGGTGAGAGCACATTCCAGGGAGAGGCTAATTTTTGATGGCCCACTACACAGAGTGACATGGGAGCAGAGGCTGGGGGTTGGGGGTGACTGGAACGTGAAAGCTGAGCAAGAGTTTGTTCACTGCCAAAGGGAACAGGAGGTGTTGAAGCCAGCAGTTACCAAAGAACTGGACACAGTAAAGGGACGTGAAGGTGTGTGCCGCCTGACATGGCCGGAAATGCCGGTGAGAGGAGTCGAAGCCAGGGCGAAGTCATGACCTTCCTGGTCTCTGTGTGCGAGGTTGAGGGCTCTGACCTCCGGCGGGGCCTGGTTACCTAACAGAGCAGCCATGCGAGGAGTCGTCTGGGAAGTGGGCATGCCCTGTGCCTGTGGGTCAGCGTTATTACCAGAACTGTTAGGATCAAAGCGTGGACTTTGGGTAGCTCTCACAACTAGGCTACCCAGCCCCAGTATCCCAATTAAAGAGACAAATGAGAAGCAGAGAGATTTATTCAGTGTGGTTGCGGATGGAAAGAGGAAGGGATAAAGGAGTTCAGTGACACCCCACCCCCCACCCCACCCCCACAGACTCTTATCTTTCAAGTGTCAGCATGAGGCTTAGGTTTAAAAAAAGAACAAGAGATAAGACAAAACTTAGGAGCCTTGGCCAAGGTTGGCCCCACCCATCATTGTCACAGCTGCAAGGTAGCCTGGCAAGTTGTCAGGAAGGTGTGAACTCTTCCCTCGTGACACCACCTCCCAATCTGGTCCCAGGATTCAGCCTGTTTCTTCTAAGACTCCTGGGGAAATCCCAACTCCGTGGAGATCATTATTTTCCGATAGCTGTATAGACAAAGGGTTTGGGGGTGGCCCAAGTGTCTCTCTTTAGAAAGTTTCCACCTCGGCCAGTGTGGTCACTATATCTGTGGAGCGTGGCCAGGGAGTCTAGATAGCCAGTCTTTGCCACTGGCTTTCTAGGAGGTTTGGATAGCCAGTATCCACTTTCAAGGATGGAGAAGAGTAAAGACTTGGAAGCAGGTGATGCCATGTGGCTTGGTGTGTGTTTTTGAAAAGGACTTCAAAGCCTTTTAGAGAGCCACAGAGCAAGGTGCAGTGGTAGGCAGACTGGGTAAACGAGACAAGTGCACTTAAACCATTCTCTGGGCAACTGTACATTAGCAGGAAAGGGTAACTCAGAGTCCAGGGGGAGCGCTCACAGCAGGCAGATGTGGCCAGAGGGGTTTCAACAGAAACACACCTGGAGCTAGAAGAGGCTGTGAGCTCACTCACCTGTGGAAGGTGAGACAGCCGCCGGACTTCTGCCCCCGGTGGTCATTGTTGGGAACTGCATCATAAAAGCCAGGGTTTGCTGCCACAGGGCCGGCCGGCCGTGTATTTGGACCCTGAGAGGCTTGACCTTAAGTCAGCAAACTCCAGGGTGGTTCCCTTTCCAGCACCAAAGGCAGAATGGCTTCCCTGCCCCATAGCTCTAGCAGAGTTGACTCGAGGGGCCAGAAGTTGGTGGGTGGAATCCTAGGTTTCTCTGGTTTTCTTGTCCTTTTAGGCATATTGGACACTTTACTTCAAAGGAAGCTGCCCATGGTGGCCTTGGTTATACGAGCAAAGGGTGTTGGCCTTTTGGTGCTGTTTTTTACCTGTTTCCTGTTGATAATGGACAGGCAGGGCCTCCGGTGGGGGTGGAGGTAGGGGTGGGGGTAGGGGGTGGTGGTGCAAAGTACCTGTCCCTGATACTCAGTGGTGCTGATACACATTGAGGTCCCTTGC